TGGTGTTCCAACAGGAACCACGAAAGGATCAAAAGAGAAGTTCAATCGAAAAAGAACCTAACACATGAAATCATTCAATCGAACCAGAATAAAGAATACAGACCCTACAGCCACCATCAGTCACAATACCAAAACCAGTACATACCAAAACCTTCAAGAATCGAAGGATCGAGAACTAAGGTTCTCATATTTTCATGAGATCTATGAATTGGGAGCTGAAAATTAATTTTCCAGACCCCAAATCGCGATCAAAGACCTAAGAACAGCCACCAAAGGCTCTGATACCACTGTTATACTAATTACAAACTCAAAGAACAGATAGAAAACTGATCTAAAAATCCTAATACATGAACTATCACCAATAACCACTGAACATCATGATTTCACAGATCGAAAGCTCAGAATAAAATCACCATAGGTTCAACACTTAGAAAACCCAGATCTAAACCATAACTCTCATGAATCGCTAGCCAAACGAGTAGCAACTTCTATGAACCAGAAGGACTACAAGTTTCCCGAATCTCAGCACATTCCTTTCGAGAGATTCACAAAGAATAACACTCTAAGAAACCAATTCAAAGATTCCTCATAGAGAAGAAAAAGAAAGAAACGCAGAGAGAAAAGAACTCTCTAGAACCCCCAAGCCAAAGAGAGAATACGAATGAATGAATAAAACCTATCGTATACCCAACTAATATCTGTGCATTGAGATTGGCAACATTTCATCCAACGGTCAGAGCTGCTTACTCAAAGGCTGGACTGATTTATTGGGCTGGACCAGATACTGGTCTTTCATTCAGTTGATGGATAATTAGTAATTTGGCCGAAGGCCATCATCATCGCCTAATGTAGGCTGGACCATGGCATCACAGCCTCACAGATCTTAAAGGAGTGTTTTATGTCCTAAATAATTCAAGAAAAATGGATAAAATTAGGTACTTTTGTGGGTTTTGAAAGGAGAAGACTGAAGAGCAGAGATTGAGAAAAGGGGGGTCTTTGATTCGTAAGATTTATGTTAGAAAAAATGAATGAAATTGAGGAACATCTGTCCTGTAGTTACGAGTTCATAGCAAAAAAAGTCGAACAAATAAGTGGGTTAAATCCACCAACGACTACCAAACTTTATACTTTGTGTCACTATGACTACTTAAGTTTTTCCTTGGTGTTATTTTTTATTCATGAGTTATGACTATCCTTACTTAAGAATTATGATTTATGTTGTATGAGTTAATTGAGAATTTGGCATTGAAATGAGACTTGTGATTTTTGAATCTATGAATTTGTGATTTGAACAAATATAATTTATGTTGCACTATTGTTTGAATTATAAATTTTAATTTATCATTAATGAGTTGTGGTTAATGAGAAAGAGATTTTTGAAAAAATTGAGAATGAGATAATATTGCAACATTTTCAAAACATGAGATCCCGTAAAATGCAATTGTCTAAGTTCACAGTTATATAATTGTCTAAGATCCCACAAAATGCATTTGCAACATTATAGTTCACAGTTATATATAAGTTCACAATTATATATATAATTTTTACAATTTAGTGCATTTACATATATATTGAATAATTTTTAATATTATTTAATAAAATATTAATAAACAATATCGCTCTTACGATCACTGATTGTCGATGGTCAATGGTCAACAATCAACATTCGATCCGCCCGTGGTGAACTTTTGTACTAGGTCTGCTGCTGAATATACTTATCATAGAATCATATAACAAATTCAATTAATAAATTTAGAACTCCCGATCTGCACAAGAACATCATATATATATATCCAAAAATTGTGATGAAATTCATCAGAACTTAGAAAAAAATCAATTTTTTGGAAAATAAATTACTAATAAAGAAACCAATAGAAAAACAGAAAGATGATTTCAAAATTTTATTTACCTTTTGTTTTTCAAAGTATGAAAAAAATCAATTCCTTGCGGTGGTGGCGATAGGTTGTGTTGGCCGAGTGTCTTAGATGATGTTCTAGAAAGCATAAAACGTGGTTACGCGTGGATGTCAAGTTTCAAACTTTACTAGCATATGCGAGGCCTAAGCATAAAAAAAACATTTTCTTATTTTTATTATTATTTTAAATTTTTAATCATTCTAAAAATTATTTAAAAATTAAAATAAAATAAAATATATGAAACATCTAAAATTATAAAATACTATATTTATTTAAAAGGTTTGGGATCGTGAATGTAACTATCCCTTATACGAAAGCTTAAAATGCATTTTTTTCCTTCAATTATATGAGTTTTGTAAATGATATAAGGGGAAGTTGGCATGTCATGAATTGATTATCTGAAAAATCTATTGTAGTATGACTTCTAATTAAGCAATTCTCGTGGGGTGAAACTTTAATTGGGTCATTATAATTTCAATTTAATTACACCTCTCAATATTTTATCACATTCCACCACCTCAGGGCCAGCCCTGATTATAGGCGACATGGACAATTGCCTAATGCCCCACTTTGATGAAGGTCTCATACTATGTAAGATTAATTGACAGGCAAAAGAAAAATGAAAATTATAATTACGAAATTTTTTAAATTAGAATTATCATAAGTAAACACAAGAAACTAATAAAATTTGAAAATACAGACATCTCTAAAAAAATTATATAAATGGTATAAAACTTATCACATATATTTATGTATCACATAAATATATCACATCCATTACTTTCTCTATATATAATTAATTTGACAATTTATCGTCACAACCATCATTTTTCTTAACAAGAAACAAAATGTCACTTTTCTATTTTCAAAATTTACGGCAATTACCGTTTTTTTTTAATGCTCTCATGGTGATTCTTACATTTATTCAACGAGTTGCTACTAAATGCACTGATATTCATTTCTCTCTAGGTTCTTGCATTTCATTATATTTGCCATTTTTTTCCAGTTTTCCAATGTCGTTTTATTTAGTAATGTTTTAATTAAACTAATACTTCTCTATGTGCTATGTAATCTACTTTGGAATTTTTTCAATCCACTTATTATTCTTTCTTTTCTTTTTAATGTTTGTACTTCAATTTAAATCTTGTATTTTGTCTTCCGATTTTGCTGATTATGTTTAATTTTTTTAATTGTATATAATTGTTTTTCTTATTCAAAGTCAACAATTAAGTTTAACCATACATTTTATAGTATTCACAATTTTTTAAACACACATTCCACCAACTTTTATTGAAATTACTAAAAATCTAGTTTAAATTTTTATCAAACATGAGTTTAATATTCATAGAAGCCCCATATTTGAAGTTTGCATAAGGTCCCAAAATATAAGGGCCGGTCTCAAACCGATATCACACCATGACAAATCTTCAGTTAATTGCTACATGACACGCTAGAAATAAAAATTGTGAAATGAAAGTAATGACAATGTATTTAGTTTAAAATATTAAAAGATGTATTATTTTATTTCAACTCTTATATGACATGATAGTATGGTGAACTGGCATGCCATGTAAGATTGGGTAGTGCTAGACATACAGAAAATTCTTGCTAGATGAGTTGACAGCAACTATTCCTTTTCTAGAATGTCTATATTGTCCTTAATAAAATATTTTGCAGGTTAAGTTCTGTATCTTTTTGTTGTTGGATAATTGAGGGTTATATTAATAATTCTTCCAAATCTTTTAGTAATTTTTCTATCTTCTTGATTTGTAATCAGAACTATTATCTTATACAACGTTTCTTTAATTTTTCTATTTGTTCTAAATATTCTCTATATTTTATTAATTTTTCATAGGTTTTAGGTTGATCTTTTCTAGTTATATATCTAAAAATAATTCCTTCTAAAACTTCTTCTTTTATATTTTCGTATTTAGTTATGACATTTTCAACTCT